AGAAGGGGAGAGGAGGGGGAAAGAGGAGAGGAGCGAGGTAAAAGGGGAGAGGGCGAAGGGGGAAGAGGGAGAGGAGGGGGAGGGGGAGAGGAGCGTGAAAGGGGAGAGGAGGGGGGGGAGGGGAGAATGGAGGGAGGGGGAGAGGAGGGGAAGAGGGGAGGCGGGGAGGGGTGAGAGGAGGGGAAGGGGGACAGGAGGGGGGAGTGGGTAAGAAGGGGGAAGGGGGATTTAGGAGGTGGGGAGGGGAAGAAGAGGGGAAGGGGGAAAGGGGGAGAGAGGGGGAAGGGGGAGAGGAGGCGGAGGGGGAGAGGAGGGAAGGGGGAGAGGAGGGGAAGAGGGGAGAGGAGGGGAAGGGGTGTGAGGAGGGGGAAGGGGAAGGGGAAGGGGGTGAGGAGGGGGAAGGAAGGAAGGGGGAATAGGAGGGAGGAGGGGAAGGGAAGAGGAGGAGGAGGGAGAGGAGGGGGAAGGGAGGGAGGGAGGAGGGAGGGGGAGAGAGGGGAGAGGGGGAGAGGAGGAGAAGGGAGGAGAAGGGGAGAGGAGGGGGAAGGGGAGAGAGGAGAGAGGGGGAGGGGGAAAGAGGTAGAGGAGGGGAAGGGGAAGGAGGGGAAGGGGGAGAAGGAGGGGGGAGGGGGAGGGGAGGAGGGGGAGGGGGAGAGGGGAAGGGGAAAGAGGGAGAGGAAGTAGGAAGTTCAAATCAAACCAATGAACTGGAAGAGAAATCAAATCATATTTTTCACTCGTATCTACAGTGTGCTTATCATGTCAGAAAGAATTGTATTTTTTTCTTTTTGTTCATTACTCAATCGTGTTAAGCTTTATCATCTTTGGCTAATCTTAAAAGTAGGCAGCGTGAAGAGATAGGGAGAGAGAGAAGGAAAGAGAGAGAGAAAGAGCTATTGTGCAACAAGCAAAAATCGTTTTTCATCTTAATCGGTATATTTACAACTCTTTTCTTCTATATAGATTATTAAAGAATTTAAAGGCAATCATTCCTGTTTTTATCATTATTATCATTATTTCAACTCATCATCATTTCATTGCCATTATCATCATTATTATCATTACCATTATTAATATCATTATTATTATTTATATCATTGTTGTTATTATTGTAATTATTATCATTGTTATTATTATTATTTTTATTATTATTATTATCTTTAATATTGCCATTATTACCATCATCATTATCATCATTATTACCATTATCATTATCATCCCCATTATTACTAATATTATGATCAGCATCATATCATTCCTATCATCACCATTATCCTTTTTATCATATATTATTGTTTATTATCATTACTCATATTATCCAATGTCATATTATTTATCATTTATTTATTAATTCTCATTATTTTTATTTCATTATTATCATTATATTATCATTCATTAATTGATTATCATCATCATTATCACCATCATTATTATCAATGTTAATTTTATTCATATCATTGTTATTATTATTACTGTTATCAATTATCATTATCATCTTTGTTATTTTCATTCACACTGATATCACTTTATCCACATCATCTATATTGTTTTGCTGAAAATAAGAAACTCTGCGTGCAAATTAATATTCCTTCTTTTGGCCGCATCCTACCTCATTAACTGCTCTGGTCTTTTTTTGCATAGAATTTTATATTATATTATTTATATTAGAATTTATTTTTATTATCTTATATAAAAATTAGCGATTTTTTTTTTTTTTTTTTTTTTTTTTTTTTTTTTTTTTTTTTTTTTTTTTTTTGCATAGAATCTTTGTGTGTCTGCATGTGTGGGAAGGTCCGCGCTGAGGCCTTCATGTACATAGCACATATAATATGTAATATATAATAATTTTAGGATATTTGGATACTTACAAAACCGACACCCGCTAATTTCATTGGTAGCAGCGTGTAAAATTGGTAGTAATTCTATATGTGTGCATATTGTGCCATTATACACACAGCATGGTGGGGCACACACACACCATACACACACACACACACACAACACACACACACCACACACACACACACACACACACACACACACACACACACACACACACACACACACACACACCATATAGATATTAGATAGATGATAGATAGATAGAGATAGATAAGATCAGCATAAGGGATTTTTAGATAGATAGATGGATTAGATAGATAGAATATATAGATAGATAGAGATAGATAGATAGATGTAAAATAACACTTACTAATGGAATAATGTTTTCATCTGAATTTGAATCCGTGTGTCTGAACGTGCGAGCGAATGAGAATGAGAACCCGGATTGACCCACCCGAGCCCACCGCAGTCAGAGCAGAACGAGTGCTGGGTTATTTCGAAAGCAGTATCCTTCTCCCGTAACAAAGTCCTTTTTAGGCTATTATTAACCGCGTCTCGCGAGGGTGCTGGCGCCAAACCATAGATAACTGCCCGGTTTATAATAACCTCCGCGAGAAAAATTAATTACCCTCGCGCTCTCTCGGTGACGCCAGGCGTGTGCAGTGGCCACACGGGGTTCCTCCAACAACCTGTAACGCGCAGGGAGAGAGAGAAAAAATGCTTTGGAGGCGACGCACAGCAGAATGTAGATGGTTATTGGTTCCTAGATTGTAAGTGGTTCCCGTGACAGTCTCGCGGCAGCGTTTCACGGTCGTTTTGTTAGTCATAGACGGCTTTGCTATTCGTGCAGTGCCGCGCCGTGTGAGGTCGACGCGTTGTCATGGCAACACTCACGGGGACGAGCCATCTCCGCCCTTATGGCCCAAACTGTGGTTGTGCCGAACTCTTCGCCGGCAGGAAAGACATTTTTTTTCCGATGGCGATACGCCGTTCCCCCCTTTCTCTCCGTCGATTTCAAGGCCTCTCGCGCCGCGGGGGAGCGATCAGTTCTGGTCGTGCAAGTGGCCATTCGCGTCGTGGCGCAAAAATATCAATGTATCGTAAAATTGCGTCATTTCAGGCCTCTGCCGGGAAACATCTCCCTCGTGCCAATATTGACACCCGTGAATGGGTAAACATTCTTACCCCAGTTAAACAAACCGCGGCTTATCAGCTAACCGGCAGTAAGACAGATATTCGCCCCACAGTACTGTGCACATAAGGGCGAATATCCCGTTCAGATTCCCGCTGCGGATTGACAACTGACAAACGATATCCGTCTCTTCCGCCGGGGCACACTCGCAGGCTCCAAAAAAAGCAGTTATAGTCCCTTCCCACGCCCCCGCCCCTCAACTCCTCCTCCCAGATCCCCTCCCTCTCCCACGCCCCCCGCCCCCGCTCACTCCCTCCTCCCTCCCCTCCCTCTCTCCCACGCGCCCCGCCCCTCATCCCCCTCCTCCCTCCCCCTCCTCCCCCTTCCCACGCCCCCGCCCCCTCACTCCCTCCTCCCCCTCCGCTCTCCCACCGCACCCCGGCGACCCCTCACTCCCTCCCCCTCCCTCCCGCTCTCTCCGCACGCCCCGCCCACCTCACTCCCCCTCCTCCTCCTCCTCTCTACCACTGCCCCCACCCGCCCCCTCACTCCCTCCTCACCTCCCTCCTTCCCTCCACGGCCCCCCCATCCCCCGCCCCCTCAACTCCTCCTTCCCTCCCTTCCCCCACGCCCCCGCCCCTTCGATCTCTCCTCACTCCCTCCTCCCTCCCACGCCCCCGCAGCGCCCCCGTCACTCCCTTCCGTCCTCTTCCCCTCCCCTCCCTGCCACAGCCCCCCGACCCCCTCGGGTGACGTCCCTTCTCCCTCGCCTTCTCCCACAACCGCCTCCCCTTTTCCCTCCCTACTCGCCACGCCCCCCCTCTCTCCCCTGCCTCCCACACCGTCCACCCCCTCACACCCTCCTCCCTCCCACGCCCCCCGCCCCTCACTCCCTCCTCCCCCATCCTCCTCCCTCCCCCTCCCACGCCCCCTCACTCCCTCCTCCCCTCCTCCCCCCCCACGCCCCCGCCCCCTCACTCCCTCCTCGACTCCCTGCCCCCGTCCCACGCCCCCCGCCCCTCACTCCCTCCCTTCACTCGCTCCCCCCCATTCCTTCCACCCCCTCACTCCCTCCTCACTCCATCCCCCATGCCTCCACCCCCTCCATCCCCCTCCTCTTCTCCCACAACCCTCCCTCCTCCCTCCCTACTCCCACGCCCCTCCTCTCTCCCTCCCTCCCACACCCTCCACGCCCTTCACCCCCTCCTCCCTCCCTTCTCCCACAACCCCTCCCTTTTTCCTTCCCTCCCCCTCACGCCCCCTCCTCTCTCCCTCCCTACCCCCACGCCCTTCCCTCTGCCCTCCCTCCCTACTCCCACAACCCCTCCTCTCTCCCTCCCTCCCCCCCACGGCCTTCTCCTTCCCCCCTCCCTCCCTTCCCTCACGCCCTCTCCCCTCCCCTCACGCCTCTCCTTCCCCCACCCTCCCCCCCCCCCGCCCGCCAATTGAATAGACGATGTGATTGCATCTGTAAAAAAAAAAAAAAAAAAAAAAAAAAAAAAAACTCTTGTCGGTTATGCTGTCTGTAACTTGCGTGATGACCCGTTTTCAGAGGCGGAAATAGCCTTAGGGTGAAAACAAAGAACATCGCCTCCGCACTGGCTCTGCGCGCTTGTTTTCAGTCGGTCAGGCAAGTGTGGGATTAAGTCTCCTGTGGAGTTGGATTATATGATCCGATCCCCTCCTTCTCCCCTCCTCCTCCTCCCCTCTCTATACCCCCCTGCCCCCTGTTAGTTAGATTTAAGTCTCCGGTGGGAGTTGGATTATATGATCCGATCCCCTCCTCCTCCTCTCCTCCTCTCCTCCCCTCCTCTATACCCCCTGCCCCCTGCTAGTTAGATTTAAGTCTCCTGTGTGGATTGGATTATATGATCCGATCCCCTCCTTCTCCTCCTCTCCTCTCCTCCCCTCCTCTATACCCCCCCCCCCCTGTTAGTTAGATTAGATTGGAACTTTGGAAAAAAAATCGGGTTTTATGAGTCGTTCTAAGCGTGGGTCCCTTCAAAGGATTTTTTTTTTTTTTTTTTTTTTTTTTGTTTATTGACGAAAGAGCATAGCTTTAGAATTTCCAGGCTTGTGATATTTTGTATTATTATTTATTTTTTTTTTTCTCTCTCCTTCTCTCGTACTTTGGGATCAGAATTTCCAGGCTTGTGATATTTTGTATTATTATTTTTTTATTTTTTTTTTTTCTCTCGTACTTTGGGATCTCTTTATGTTTAGTCCTTGAGAAACTTTGCACCTGAGTAATCAAACTGTTTAATGTCCCTCCACTTTCGCCTGCTTTGCATAGTCTTGTTTTTATGGCCGTGTTATTAATAAGAGGAGTGTGCTTGAAGTGATCCCGTCTGTTTGTCTAGATGTGTTTGCAAGCCTCTCTTATTCTCTGTCTCTCTCTTTATTCTCTCTCTCTCTCTCTCTCTCTTCTTTTCTTCTCTTCTCTCTCTTTTTCTCTCTCTCTCTTCTCTTCTCTCTCTTCTCTCTTCTCCTCTCTTCTCTCTCTCTCTCTCGTCTCTCTCTCTCTCTCTCTCTCTCTCTCTCTCTCTCTCTCTCTCTCTCCTCTCTCCCTCCCCCTCTCTCTCTCTCTCTCTCTCTCTCTCTCTCTCTCTCTCTCTCTCTCTCTCTCTCTCTTCTCTCTCTCTCTCTCTCTCTCTCTCTCTCTCTCTCTCTCTCTCTCTCTCTCTTTCCCTCTCCCTCTCCCTCTCCCTTTCTCTGAAAATATGGATAAAAAACTTGTTGTTTGGTTTATAGCTTGATATAAATTGGGTTAAAGTAATTGATTGTTTATTTGGAATGTTTACTTTTAAGGAAGGGATGATTCCTGATAAGAAAAGTGGATAATTGTTGTTGATTAAGAAGGAATGGAGAGTTGAGCATCCTTTGTATGTGTGAATCATCAATTAAGAATGACTGATTGGGTCTATGATTGCAGAGTAAAAGGGGAAAAAAACATGACAGTGACAGATATGAAATTAGATCGAAATTGATAACGTTGATAAGGGCTATTATCACTTTTCTGTTTTGATTTTTTTTTTTTTTTTTTTTTTTTTTTTTTTTTTTTTTTTTTTTTTTACCAAATGCTTATCCTCTTACCCTCAAATAATAAACAACAAATAAAGAGTAATTCCTTTTTACGTTTATTATTTTACCAAATTCTGCATTCTGTTACAAGAAAAGGCATTTGGAATAACATTTTAGAGAATGGATGAAAAGCTTGTTGAGAATTTTTATTGTATATACAGGGCTAAGGTTTTTTTTTTCCATTTACTTTATTTCATTTTATATTCTGCAGAGTGCTAACCCCTTTATTTCATTTACTTATTTATTTTGGCTTCGCTGTAATATTGCATCATGAAGTCTCTTCTGCAAACGTTTATTTACATCACATGAACACTGCGAATATCCACACACATCCACCTCATTCCCGCCGCCATTGCCATCCCCAAAAGGACATGAAAGATGAATGCCTGTGAGCTGAGAAGGAAAGGGAAATAACATTATCGATACATCTCGTTAGTTAATTCAACGAAATGGAAAAAAAAATTACAGTCTAAACAAATGTCGCAGCTTCTCGTTAAGGCGGAATAATTAATTTCAGAATTACACAGCGGAATGAATGCAGTGCTTTTCTCTCTCTCTCTCTCTCTCTCTCTCTTCTCTCTCTCTCTCTCTCTCTCTCTCTCTCTCTCTCTCTCTCTCTCTCTTTTGTACATAATATATCGAGGGCTGACAGCAAAATGTTTGGTAAACTGAACACATTTTGGGCTGATATTTTCACACACTAACTCACACTCACACACACGAAAATAATAACAATGGAATTAAAAATAAAAATATCAATACATACTCTAGATACACAGTATATGCATCCATTCAATCTTCTGTATTTATAGAAAACAAACCAAAATCATCAATACAATACACGAACACCCACATCCTCCAGCTAACCAAACAAACAAACCACAACAAACACAAATTCGAACACAATCGACGCATGAACCCAGAGACGCGGGGGGGGGGGGGCTTAGCTGTCTGTCTGTCTATCTGTCTATGTTTCTGTTGTCGTGTCTGTCTTTCTGTGGATCTGATTGTTTATTTATCTATCTGTTTGTTTCTATGTTTATCTATGTAGCTGATTGTTTGTATATCTATTTGTCTATCTATCTATTTAGTTGTCTGTTATCTATATGTCTATCTCTCTCTGTTAGTGTATCTTTCTATTTATCTATGTGTGTGTGTGTGTCAATCTATTTAATCGTCGATCTATAAAACTATCCATCTGTCTAGCTGTCTATCTATTTATCCGTCTATCCATCAGTCTATCCGTCTGTATATCTATCTGTCTATGTATGTATGCATGTATGTATGTATGTATGTATCTATAGGCACGTGCTCTTTGCCTGTGTATAGCCGTGCATGTGTACCAAAAGGCGGTGGAAGTGGAACATGATAAATCTCTCGCCGTGATGTGATAATGAGTCCTATTGCGTCCTCGTTTCCGCTCCTCTCCCCTTCCTTTTCCTGCGGCGAGGAATAAGGCTGGAAGGAGCGAGGGGAAGAGGAAGGGGAGGGAAGGAGAGAGAGAGAGAAGGACAAAGGAGGAACCTCCATCTCCGCGGAGGAGCAGGTCGGCGCGCCTTGACATCTTCCAGGAACTTGCTTGTTTCTCTTGCATCTCAGCGGCGCGGCTGGCAAATTGCGAACCGCGCCGTCTACTGCCCACGCGGAGGAGACGAAGGCTCATCTTCAGTTTTCTTTTTTCCTCTGCTCTCTTTTCTTCTCATCTTTCTATGAAAATGGCATCATTTTTATTCGTAAGGGGGAGGGGAGGAGAAAGGAGGGAGGGAGAATTCACACGCTTTGCATTTGTTTGGAGATGCTTATGAATATGCAGGCGATTTTCTCCGAGGCTTGGTTTCATTTCGTCTGTCTGGGTGTCTGCTTTGTCTGTCTTTTTGCCTGTACGTCTGTGTGATTGACTCTCTCTCTCTCTCTCTCTCTCTCTCTCTCTCTCTCTCTCTCTCTCTCTCTCTCTCTCTCTCTATCTCTATCTATCTCTCTCTCTCTCTCTCTCTCTCCTCTCTCACTCACTCTCTCTCTCTCTCTCTCTCTCTCTCTCTCTCTCTCTCTCTCTCTCTCTCTCTCTCTCTCTCTCTCTCTCTTCTCTCTCTCTCTCTCTCTCTCTCTCTCAATCTTGCTCGCTCTTTGTATGCCAGTCAGTTTTATCCTGTTTCTATGTTTGTTCCTGTCTTTCTGTCTCTGTATGTCTGCATGTGTCTGTTTGTCAGTCTGCCTGCTTGTCTCTGTCTCTGCTTATCCCTCCCTGCCTGCTTTCTATCTGTCTGCATGCACTGTCTGTCTGTCTGTTGCCGGGACTCTGTCTCAGTGTTGCTGCCTGTCTCCCTGTCTCTCTCTCCCTCTTTATTTATTCTACGGCTTTCCTGCATATATTCAGCGATTCGGCGAGTTCCTTTGATGCAACTTTTTCTCGTCAAGCGTATATGTATTCAAGGCCCTTCATTACAACCCCACACTCACATGCACACATACACACAGGCGCACACGCACACACACACACACACACACACACACATCCACACATACACAGGGCACACACACATACACATACACACACACACACACACACGCATACCACACATACACAAACAAACAAACACAAACACACATACACACATAACCCACAAGCACAGAGTTACACACACACACACACACACTTTAACACGGTCAGGCAAGGCGAGCGCGCGTATGTGTGTGTGTGTGTATGTGTGTGCATGACTGTGTAGGCTTAATTGCTTCCAAGACTACGACTGCTTGGCCATAACAGCAGAGAAAATTTTTTATCTTAGAATCATTGTCCAGGGCCGAGCGAGGCCGTCCGGGGGGCAGGGTGTCCTAGCCGAGAGTGGTCGACTGCCCCCGGACGCCCACGCTCGCCCCCGGACGCCCACGCTCGCCCCCGGACGCCCACGCTCGCCCCGACGCCCACGCTCGCCCCGACGCCCACGCTCCCCCGGACGCCCACGCTCGCCCCCGGACGCCCACGCTCGCCCACGGGACGCCCACGTTCGCCCACGTTCGCCCACGTACGCCCACGTTCGCCCACGCTCGCCCTACGCTCGCCCCCGGACGCCACGCTCGCCCCCGGACGCCCACGCTCGCCTACGCTCGCCCCGGACGCCCACGCTCGCCCCGGACGCCCCACGCTCGCCCCCACGCCCACGCTCGCCCCCGGACGCCCACGCTCGCCCGCTCGCCCCCGGACGCCCACGCTCGCCCTTCCCCGACGCCACGCTCGCCCCCGGCCGCCCACGCTAGCCCCGGACGCCCACGCTCGCCCACGCTCGCCCCCGGACGCCGCCCACGCCGCCCCCTCGCCCGCCCCACGCTCGCCCGCCCGCTCGCCCCCGGACGCCCACGCTCTCGCCCCGGGACGCCCACGCTCGCCCCCGGACGCCCACGCTCGCCCGGACGCCCACGCTCGCCCCGGACGCCCACGCTCGCCCGGACGCCCACCGCTCGCCCCGGACGCCCACGCTCGCCCCCGGGACGCCCACGCTCGCCACGGATGCCCACGCTCGCCCCCGACCCCACGCTCGCCCCGCCCACGCTCGCCCCCGGACGCCCACGCTCGCCCCGGACCCACGCTCGCCCCGACGCCCACGCTCGCCCCCGGACGCCACGCTCGCCCCCGGACGCCCACGCTCGCCCCGGACGCCCACGCTTCGCCCCCGACGCCCACGCTCGCCGCCCGTTCCCACGCTCGCCCCGGACGCCCACGCTCGCCCCGGACGCCCACGCTCGCCCCGGACGCCCCGCTCGCCCCCTCGCCCCACGCTCGCCCGGACGCCCACGGCTCGCCCCTGGACGCCCACGCTCCCCCCCGGACGCCCCACGCTCGCCCCCGGACGCCCACGCTCGCCCCCGACGCCCACGCTCGGACGCCCGGACGCCACGCTCGCCCCGGACGCCCACGCTCGCCCCCGGACGCCACGCTCGCCCCCGGACGCCCACGCTCGCCCCGGACGCCCACGCTCGCCCCCGGGCGCCCACGCTCGCCCCGACGCCCGCGCTCGCCCCCCCGGACGCCCACGCTCGCCCCCCGGACGCGCTCGCCCCGCTCGCCCACGCTCGCCCCGGACGCCCACGCTCGCCCCCTCGACGCCCACGCTCGCCCACGCTCCCCGGACGCCCACGCTCGCCCCCGGACGCCCACGCGCCCCGGACGCACGCCCCTCGACCCCGGACGCCCACGCTCGCCCCCGGACGCCCACGCTCGACGCCCGGACGCCCACGCTCGCCCCCGGACGCCCCACGCCCCGGACGCCCACGCTCCCAGCCACGCCCAGACGCCCACGCTCGCCCCTCGACGACCACGCACACCCAGCCTTGGAGAAAACCGCCTGCGCGTCCACAAGCATCAAACAACTGCAGAGCGAGTG